TAAGTAGTTCTATTTTGAATTATCAATGTTTATTGTTCAGAGTTTTGTATTACAATGTTTTGATAGAATCATTTGTTGATGTGGACTTACTTACTACCGATGCCCAGAATTTATATTGCAGATGTTAGGCATGCAACTGTAGCTCAGTTTTAAGATATTCCTTTTGAATATTTTTCATACAGTGGTTTATGGGAAAGCAATCAATTGCTTGGAAGAATTTGAGACTGATACTTGTTGTCACATTTGTGTTGTAAGGTGGGTTAAACAATATGATGTTATTGTGTGTCTTTTATTTTGGGGGTTATAGTTCAAATTATAGTTGTAGCCACTCTTATGTTTGCCCTACTGCCGTCGGCTAGTTCGATTAGGTGGTTAGTGGGGTTGAACTTATCATCAAAACTAACAACCTTTGACTTATCATTAATTATGTAACTTGTTGCCCCAGTCCCAGTATCTATTAATAAATTTGTATCGAACTTACCTCCTGAACTTTTATCTCTATTTACATGATCTTTTACTGTAAATGCAAATGTTTTTACATACTCTTGTGCCTCTACTGCCGTCTTCGCACTGTCTTTCATTTTTCACAATCCTTTTTGTTGTGGGTCTTGGTCTTGCATCTTTTACACCATTTTTCACTTCTCATCCAAAAATCAAAGCTCTTGTGTCCTTTCTTGTTGCATTTAAGGCACTTCCCTTAGAATTTTTGCCCGCTATGCATTTGGTTCACGTACATAACTTGTCCTTCGCGTTTTCTCTTCTGTTGGTTTTCTAGCTCTCTTCGTAATTTTGCAATGCAGTCTTAAATTCCGCGAAAGTCATTTGTTTTTCCCGCTGTATTACGACTGTGGCAAATGCTTTGTAGCTTGCAGGCAAACCTTGAGTGCCATCACCACCAACAGCCCTTCGCTCATAACTTCATCAGCGGAGAAGCAAACTCCCAAAAAGCGGGCTTGTTAGCAGGTAGAAGTGAACCGTTGCTGGCAAATGCGAAATGCCAAAAATTGCTCCGTAACCGCTTGTCAGCTTGTGAAGCGAAAAAACGATTTCCAAATGATGTAAAAGGATGAAATAAAAGCATTTATGAATATTAATATAGGAATTCTTACAGTCAAAAAATATTATTTTCGGCAAAATCTGACTGTATTATTTGATACAGTTGATATAGTCTAGATCCGCCCCTGAAAGTAGTTCTATTTTGAATTATCAATGTTTATTGTTCAGAGTTTTGTATTGCAATGTTTTGATAAAATCATTTGTTGATGTGGACTTACTTACTACCGATGCCCAGAATTTATATTGCAGATGTTAGGCATGCAACTGTAGCTCAGTTTTAAGATATTCCTTTTGAATATTTTTCATACAGTGGTTTATGGGAAAGCAATCAATTGCTTGGAAGAATTTGAGACTTATACTTGTTGTCACATTTGTGTTGTAAGGTGGGTTAAACCATAGACTATCGAAGGGAATGGACTGGAAACGCTAATATAAAGCGCTGTGTCTGACAAATACACGCGTGATATGGGCTAGCACGAATCGTTTTTTGCGTTACCATAGAAATTAAGCGCAGGAAGAAACAAGAAAATTTTTCACAGCAAGACTGCAAGTTCGACTTTACGGCGATTTTTTCCAAATATAACGGCTAGGATATATTTTTCTCCTGTTAAATTAAAAGACAAACAGTTGAGAAGGTAAGAACTTTTAGAAAAGGTTGACTTTTGGGGGAAATAGCTCCCAAAACGGTATGCGCTTCCGTGTGTTTAGCATAAAATGGCGCACCGGAAGTTAAAGGTCAATGTGAAGGTTAAAGGACCCTGTAACTCTTTAGAAATTCTGTTTTTAATAATATGTTACACATTATTTTATCCCTACACAATGTGTCAACGGAACGCATACATAACCTGTTCCCGTTTTCGCTATCATTTTTAAATAAAAGTTGATCAATTTCAGTTGTGATTTTCACAAGAAACGCACATCGTCTATGTCATTGTTGAAGTACATGATTCAAAGTAATACTATAAACCACGCTTAATTTCCCAAAATTCACTTATATTTACTAATTCAGACTCTCTTGATGCACACTTATAAAACTAGGGTCAAATATGTAAATCAATTCTGTTGTATTGCAAGAAAAAAGATGGGCCAAGTTGGATAGTATTAAATTCGCACGAAGCAAAAAAAGCATTGTTATTGTTCAAGAAAGCGGCACAAAAGGAACCCTGCAGCTTGAGAACAAGAAACATTTTTTCTCTAAAGTTTAAATAGACAAATTCCTCACTGATAGGGCTATGAAACGGTCATCGTTTAATTGCCGTACTGTTCTTCGTTTAAAAAAGATGTACTATGTTTTGCATTTATCAAAAACTAGAATACAAGCCCGAAGTCAGGTTGCAACTTTTGCAAGACTGTGAGCTTGCATTAACGATCTTCCGAAATATCGAGCCGTAAAGTTCGTCATAAAAAATATACTGTTTTCCAACATTTATTTGTATGAATATGCTACAATTCTTTAAGTCATATTTTATAGCTTTGATATTTTATCATTGGCAATTAATTAAGGGAAATTGATGTTTATATTTCTTATAAGACAACCAAAATTACTACAAGTATATAAATTACTTATTAAAAACAAACATCTTTATCTGTTTTTATTACCCTACACCTACATGTATCTCGAAAGATTAACCATATGTATAAACTTATTTTGATTCAGGATCGAGTTGCAGTTCTTATATAATGTGAGTTATGTATTTTAATTAATAAATAATTAAAATTATAATATAATTTTTTTTTGAGATGCCATACAAAAGAGGTTTTTCTGTAAAAAAGAGATTTAAGAAGGAAAGGTTGAATAGGACTAAGAAATTACAAATGCTTACAGAGCAAGAAAACAATATTGAAGATATCATGCAGGTAAACCGTAATAGTCTTAATTAATACACAAACTGATGTAATTATGTAGCTAAAAAGCTAATGGCAATGCATTTTCTTTTCTATTTCAGGATAAATTGGGCAATGAAATAGCTACCACAGCAACAAACCACATTACCACCTGTGCTACATCAACATGTATGCCTGAAACTATCGAGGACAATTATAGATGTCAACCTATAGCTGAAGCAATCAATTATACCCCTACAACATCTTTAAAGGGAATAGCAAATACTATAAAAGTTATAGGCCTACCTCCTGGATGGACTTTAGTAAACAGTGACAGCAAATTGTTAAAAGTAGTCCTCATTAAGCAAAGGAAGCGAAATCCCATGAAAGATCCCATGATTATTAAGTCATTGGCAGTCTATGAAGACTATACTTGGAGTATAAGAGTGCATAACAAAACTGTCCAACAGTTTGATTGCAGTGGATTGGAAAATCTTGTTAAGCATAAAGCTATTAAGTCTAGTGGAGCATTCTTTGAAGTTGTGTCAACCATTCATGATGCTAAGATATGCTGTGGAAATCCTGATCTCGACCTCCTAAGTGAAACACACCCAATGCTTGATTTGGAAAGAATGCGTTCAAATATTGATGCACAGTTTGAAGTTGAATGTAATGGAAAGCATTTTGAGAGCACAATTCGAGGAGAAAAATGTCACATGTTGATTGCAGGAAGATATGACAGATGCACTGAATGCTCAAAATATAGAGCATATCTACGAACAGTCAAATACAGACAACAAAAAATGGCCATATATGATAAAAACTACTATACAGGCTCAAACAGTTCTGTCAATTACAGATATTTGTCTTCAGAAGGAAAAACAGAATGGCTGAGGTCAATGCAAAAGGAACTCAGATCAAAAAATCAGTTGGTAAATAAATTGAGGTCCAGACTTGCCCATCTTATTGATACAGAAGGCCATGTTTTAGATCCCCAAATTAATGATGACCTTTCTAGCATCTTATCAAATAAAGAAAACTTTGCAAATGAGTTACCTGAAGGATCATTTAGAAGGTTATTGTGGGAACAACAGATGCAGGCTTTGTCCTGCAATGACTCAAGGCAAATGAGATGGCATCCTGTTATGATCAAGTGGTGCCTGAACATTAAGTTAAGATCATCCTCAGCGTACAAAGCACTAAGAGACTCTGGATTCATAAAGCTGCCAAGTGAAAGAACATTAAGAGATTATACTCATTGGACGAAAGTAACATCTGGATTTCAGCCTTCCTCATTTGAACGTTTGCTTGTGGATATGAGTAGTAGTGAGCTGGAAGAATGGCAGAAATTTGTGGTCTTGCTTCATGATGAAGTAAAAATAAAGAGCGATCTTGTGTACTGCAAGCATACTGGAGAACTTATAGGATTTGCCAACCTGGGTAATATCAACAACACATTGCTAGATTTTGAAAAGCAGTGCCAAGAAGATGCCAACCCAATGCCAGACCTTGCAACTTACATGCTTGTGTTTATGGTCCGAGGAATTACCATTAGGCTGGAGTACCCCCTAGCACATTTTCCTTGTAACAGCAGCATAACAGCAGATTTCATTTTCCCTCTTGTCTGGGATGCGGTGAGGCACCTTGAAACTATTGGGGTTAAAGTTGTTGCAAGTACTTCTGATGGAGCTTCCACAAATAGGAGATTTGTTAAGATTCACAAGCCACCCAAAAGTGCAAAAGGGCTTACCATTTACAAAACAAAGAATATCTTCAGTGAAGATGGAAGGGATCTGTTCTTTATAGCAGATGTTCCTCATCTACTCAAAACAGTTAGGAATAATTGGGAAAACAGCGGATGGAACAAAAAGACAAGACAACTATGGGTAATTATACCACAATGAAATGAATGAATTGACTGAAAAAAACTGCAACTTTTTCTGAGCTAATTTTATGATCCATCAAGACTCGGTTTGTATATCTATCACTTATCTGTACCAAATCGGCCTGTATATATGTTTTAGAATTCAGGATACAGCATCTCGTGGATACATTTGGTTAACCTTTACAAGGATGATCTGCGGCGCAGTGGTCTCAAATTAGTTCCTAAGCTGAAATACGATCACATTTACCTGACATCATATTCGAGGATGAAAGTCCATTTGGCCACTCAGGTAATTAGATACCAAAGCGTCATAGCATCAATTTAGTAGGTCTAAGATAGGAATCCTATTCATGCAGTTTGTACAGACAAAAACGCTATTTTCTTCCATTTTGCCCGACTCCGGGGCAACAATACTTGATGTTGATAGTAATGAAAAACCAACAGGCTAATTACCGTTCTAGGGGGATTCCCCTTCACTATCCATACACTATGGAAGGATATGCACTATCTAAGAGAATATATGTTTAATCATAGACTATCAAAGGGAAGTCTATGGTTTAATCATAGTTTATGGTTTAATTTAATAATAATTACGCCCAAGCTGGTGACTGAGAAAAATGTTTAATTACTAGGCTTATACCATAGACTATCGAAGGGATGGTCTATACTATGATATTTCTGAAGTTTCAATTTTAATATCCAAATGCATTTTCTTTGTTTTTCAGGTAATTAGTACGACGGTAGCAAATGCACTGGATTCATTTTATGGACAGGAAGTTCAAGGAACCGTAAAATTCATCAGAATGTTTGATAAATTTTTCGATTGTTTGAATAGTCGGTCACTAACAGAGGCTGACAGGAACAGGAAACCGAATATGGCACCATATAAATCTCCAAATGACCAGCGTTTAAAGGTGGGGTAATTGTTAGACCTCACCAATGATATTTCGGTATAATCAATACATGTATAGCCTGGAGCAAAATGTAGAAAATATTTATTTGCTTTACATAGTGGCTGAGGGATGATTTTCTAAAATACCTGGAAAGGTGGGCAACATCAGTAGATTCACACTTCCAGGGACTGAAATCGAAAGAAAAGGCGAAAATGAGATTGAGCAATCAAACAAATAAAGGGATACATATGACAGGTATTAGAAGAAAACATAATGATTTACTGTATTGTTCAATCAAGGTTACTTATATGCCCTTTCATTTCATGTTGCAAATATTTACACTCTTATAAATTCTCTTTCCTTCAGTTTATTCATTTGTTGAATTGACACAGTACTTGCTTGCACAAACTGGTGTGCATACATTTTAAGTGGAACGCTTCAACCAAGATCCGTTAGAATCACATTTTGGCAAGCATCGACAAATGAGGGAGGAAATGACAATTACAGTTGCTCAATTCAACTACAATGGAACAATCTTCGTCTTCTAGGTTCTCAGGGCTGGCCCCAGTCAATGGCAACTGTAAAAGGTCATGCACTGAAAACAAAATTGATGACACACCACTTCCAAAGAGGCCAAGAAAACCAAAAAAACTTTTTTTCTAACAGTTATGAAAAGTTATGAATCCATATTTACATAATTTCTGCATTTTTCAGATTTTTTCTTAGGGATTTTTTCTTTGATGCTTCAATAGTTTGGTGATGTTTGAAATGTTCAATCCAATGTGCTGCAAATGCATGACCTCGAATATCAACCCACAGTTGTATGCACATTTGCATGACCTGGTTTGATTCTGTTACATTTTGTCCTGTTGCTTCTCTTCAATGCTGCTTTACCACCTCGTCCTTAAGTACAGCATTTAAAACTGGGGATTTTATATCCGTTGAATCAGCCGTAGTTTTTATATGGTTTTTTTGAAAATATTTGCGGCAATGACATTCTACTGATCTAAAGAACAAGAAAGCTTCATTTGTCAGTTGAAATAAACCACCTCTATTTTGCTTGTCAATCCAGCATTTTGTGTAGTCTAAAAATGTTTGTGGATTTTCCACTCCCTTCATCACACCAAGAGCATTAAGACACTGGGTTTGAGCATCACTGTCCACGCACTGCTTCTTTTTGCACCTTTTCTTTAATGCAAAAGGAACAAAACCTGCAGCATATCTCAGGATGTTCTCCTCGACATTTGTTATTTTCTCTGGACTTTCAGGATTTTCAGAGCTAAACTGTGCACAAGACTTCAGAACAATTATTTTTTCAAACAGCTTTCGTACTAAGGTCTGAATAAAAATTGTCAATGGGGGATGATCATTCAAGGCTGGACGCAAGTAAGACTTCAACCCCTCAACAAAAGAAGAGTTTAAGCACATGTTGTGAAAAGCTTGCCACATTTTCTCACGCTGGTCAGCCAGAATCTTTTTTGAATCACCAGCAGAAACAGCATTCCAAATCATAGACAATGAAGCATGCAACCTTTCAACATTGCATTGATCTTTATTTTTCAAAAAACACTCAGCAGTACCAATCAGTCGTGGTCCATTTAGTGATCCTTTTATCTTGTTGAAGGGATCGTTAATAATATCACTCATAGTTTCCTCCACTAACTTTTCACCACCAGCACAGAGCTTAGAAAAGGAATACTTTGTATATTTGCCATGACTTTCTATAATATGTAACCACATCATGTCAAGGATTTAGAATAGACTCTTTTATAAAGGATTTCAATATTTTTGTTTGGAAATGGAATGATTGCAATTCTTCCCATAATTTTGTAAAACAGAAACAGTATAGAAACAGATTTACTTCACTTCATTAAAAAATCACAAATTTATTATTTAAACAATTATACAAATTGTTTTAAAGGCTCTTTTATGCCAAACTATTCAGATAGACACACTTCTTAAATGTAAATGTAATCTTGTAGCATGTGATGTCATATAGCTTGTTTAGGTTATGAACTCTAATTTTTAATGCTTGTAGTTGTAAATATATTAATAACTTATAAAATATACATATTTTTACCATTCATATTGATGTATTATACATGTAATTCAGTCTTAATGACTGCGAGATGTATATTTATTAAAGGATTTGATTGATTAAACGATTTGATTGATTGATTGATTGATTGATAAACGTATCAAATAAAGCAAGTACATCAGTTTATATTTCACAGCTGGACGTTTAATAAAAATACTAATTATTAGTATTCAGTTCCCAAATTTTTACCATGCGTTTCTTCAACATTATCATTTATTTCTGGACATTCTTCACTCAGAATGAATGCCTCGTCTTCGTTAATTTCCTCGCTACTTTCTTCTTCGCTTTCAATAGCTTCTTCTTTATGAGTATATTCAAAAATTGTATCCCAGTTAACAGTTTCGCTGTTTAAGCTTTCCGCCATCTTGGATATAATTTCGCGCGCAAATCCCACAGGCGTATCACGCATCGTATCAGCGCTTTATATTAGCGTTTCCAGTCCATTCCCTTCGATAGTCTATGGTTAAACAATATGATGTTCTTGTTTCGAGTGTGTCTTTTATTTTGGGGGTTATAGTTCAAATTATAGTTGTAGCCACTCTTATGTTTGCCCTACTGCCGTCGGCTAGTTCGATTAGGTGGTTAGTGGGGTTGAACTTATCATCAAAACTAACAACCTTTGACTTATCATTAATTATGTAACTTGTTGCCCCAGTCCCAGTATCTATTAATAAATTTGTATCGAACTTACCTCCTGAACTTTTATCTCTATTTACATGATCTTTTACTGTAAATGCAAATGTTTTTACATACTCTTGTGCCTCTGCTGCCGTCTTCGCACTGTCTTTCATTTTTCACAATCCTTTTTGTTGTGGGTCTTGGTCTTGCATCTTTTACACCATTTTTCACTTCTCATCCAACAATCAAAGCTCTTGTGTCCTTTCTTGTTGCATTTAAGGCACTTCCCTTAGAATTTTTGCCCGCTATGCATATGCATTTGGTTCACGTACATAACTTGTCCTTCGCGTTTGCTCTTCTGTTGGTTTTCTAGCTCTCTTCGTAATTTTGCAATGCAGTCTTAAATTCCGCGAAAGTCATTTGTTTCTCCCGCTGTATTACGACTGTGGCAAATGCTTTGTAGCTTGCAGGCAAACCTTGAGTGCCATCACCACCAACAGCCCTTCGCTCATAACTTCATCAGCGGCCTTGATTGATGTTGCAGCCATTTCTGTGCGTATAACGTAGTCTGTACTTGTTTCATTTTTTTGCCATCCTCAAGGAAGTCAGTTCCGTATATAAGGCAATGATTCTCAGTTTGCTTTTTCCCTGGTAATGTGATAAAAAGCTTGTTCGCTACATAATGTTCAAAGATTGCTTTGAAGCATTGGTTGGGGACATTAGTCACCTCGATGACGACAAACTTTGTGAGAAATTGTTGTCATTACAAAATTTCGAAATCACATTCAGCAATGACAACGTTGTAAGTAAATGTACACTTTTATGCTGAGCTGTTATATACACAGTCCATATTATGAACTATCTTATAAACTTCATATAGGCCATATTCTGTGACCAGTTATCTTTCAGTTCCACTGCCATCATTCGCTAAATACACTTTCTTTACATAAATCTATAGATTTTGACACGCTAAATACGATTATCATCAATGTTGTCACTTACCCAGACCCGCAGTTTTTGAGTAAAATGCCACCGAAGTTCCACTATTTTCATTGTTTTTTCCGCTATGTTTTCGTGTGTACTTCGTGTAATATACAATGAAATGTACTCGTTCCAGGACCAAATTATGCTATTTTTGCACGGACGATTGAATAATTTGGCGTTAGCTAAGTAAAAACGCGCGCGTTTGCTTTAGTTTTTTAAAAAAATATGGTCATACCTTGTATGAAAGACGTCTGTGACTAAAGTATCATATAAAGTTCCTTGTCTTTGGTGAAATATTACCAATTTATATATCCACTTCATTGTTTGTTTCATGGTGCTGCGCACCAAAAATCAACAGCATAGGGTTTTGGTGTAGGGTTAGGGAACGACCCTACATCTCTGCTAGGAATATGCGCAGACGAAATGCACTCTACTTCTGTCACCCACTTTGAGAGAATGCCGAGACAGAGGGCTGGGGCTAAAGCCTTTAGCCCCTCTCGCTTTTAGTCAGAAAACGGTCCCAGGGCTTTGCTTTCCACAAAATCATATTGTACTGAAATCAATTTAGGAAACAATAGTTCACTAAAATCTGAAATCATCTATGTCATCAAGGTCTCCATCGTTCGAAATTCCCTTGAGTTCACAGTCACTATCTTCTTCATCCTCACCAGCGTCACCATTCCGACAGTCAATGCAGGAACACAAGTCGGTGCACTTCAGTCCAGCCTTCAGGCACGAGCATCGCCTAGATTCGCACCCCGTTTTGCACTTGCAATTAGTGCATTCCAGCAAATAATCTGGGGCTGCGGGACGCGTCATCCATTGGATTTCTATCTCCCCTTCAGAAAGCTTCCAGCCATTTCCAATTGGAGAAAGAATGGCCATATGTGCCAGAAGACAACGAGACCATATCCCTGCTCGCTCGATATGCTTCAAAAGTGCGTCCCGCGTTGGTGGTGAAACTTCATCAGAGCATTTTCCAGCTGTAAAAAATGCGTACCTGCATTCGTCAACATTTTTGATCTCAAGTCGCCGTATAAAAGACAAGTAAACTTGTTAAGCGCACGGACCAGGTCACTCGAAGGGGGAAAACAGCTGCCCAGCAAGGAAAATTCCTTGATAAAATGTGGATAACTCATAAGCGTTTTCCATGCTGTAGCTTTTCCTTTTCCGTAAAAAGAGCTGGTGGAATCACATCCTAGAAAATAGCGAGGAGCAAATATACACTTGGGGTTTCATGTACTACTGAGAACAGTAGAAATGAGGAATGAAATTTATGTTTACAATCGTAATGATGTTTACCTGAATATGCATGGAAACCAGGCAAGCATTGGCACAATTTTTCACCAAGAGCATCGAAAACAGCGTTAATACGTATGGTGTGGTATCTTGTTCCTGTTCCAGTCGTTAGAAACAGGTCTTTTGGTCCCAGCTTTTGCTGTATTGCAATGCAAATGACGAAGACATCGGTGTCAGGACTCCTAATGGTCACAGAATCACACGTGTTCGACGCATGTT